GCTACTGCAGAACACCAATCCGCCGAACAGGAAAAGCATATGAATGCCGTAAACAGCCGAACCGGAACCATACGAATGCTGTAAACAGCCAAATAGGAAAAACCATACGAATAGGTTTACACTCCTAGCAGTCAAACTGGAACAGCATACAATAAATCCCCCCAAGAACAAGACAAGGCTCCGTGTTGAGGGTCAAGCAGGAACAGACAGAGCTGTGGGTTTATTGTTCTTATATGCACCTTAGTACCACCCACAGGGTTTTGGAACACAACCAATAAACACATACCATACACTCAGACACTCCCACACAAAATCCTCCCCTCTGCCTGTGATACAATTACCTTCCACAATGGGTAATGTAATTATTACAAGTAGAGAAATACAATTTTTCCACATTATTCATAACTTGAGAAGTATGCATCACATTCACATAAAACATTTCAGAATCAGCATACTCCAAATACAAACATATGTCAAAATCATCCAAATTGGTCTAGTGGTTCAAAAGATAGATCGTAGTCCTTTGTGACCAAAGGAAGCATGGCTTTTCTGCCCAAAACCAGTTCCACAGAGTCTTCTATCCTGGAGATAATTGGGAAGTGTAGCGGAGATGCAATATTCCCCAGGTTATCTCCGCTTATAATCCAAGTGAGGCTCAGGAACAAGTAAATAGTAAATCCACAGGCAAGGTTTCCAGCAGGTAAAATAACAGCAATATCCCAACAGCAATCCCAATAACTGGACGACACACAGTTTCAGGAGCAGAACTGAAATCTTTAATCCATACTGTCCTTTTAAAGCATGCTCCCATGCAAGGGAGGGATTTACAATCATTAGTACAGTAGTCAATCCTGTCCTGGTAACCTCCCACACATCTCCTCCCCTCAGCCTGCATCATAATCCCCTTATCCAGTCTAGCAATTCCCCCCCGTTTCTGGATGTACCCCTAAACGTAGGGGTACCCCTTTAAATCCTACACCCCCTGATAGCCCTGATCTGGGTGAACAACATATCCAAAAATCACCCAGATCAGACCAGGGGTTCGGGAAATCTATGGAGGGAATAAAATGACCGACCGCACTGACTGAGACAGCTGAATGCGGTTCCATGCGAATGGGCCCTGCGGTCGGTCCTGGAATAAGGGAACAAACTGTACGAAAGCCTCTAGCTATAGAGGCTAGGGAGGGTTCACCTGAATCCCCTCGTTCGGTTCTTTGTGTCTACCGAACGAGGGGCCGTTCGGTAGTTAGGAACCGAACGGACCGGGCTCGTGGAGGTTTCAGTGGTATTCACCTAGTCGAGTGTCCGATTTGAGTTCCAGACACTCGACGGCAAAACACCACTGTTCGGGAGTTTTAAAATGGCCGCCGCCATGTGTTAGTTTGTCGAATGGCGGCCACCCCCGAGAACAAAGGACGGCTACTTAACTTGTCAATTACCCGTTCGCAACAATGTTGCAACGGGTAATTGAGGACACACTTCACACAGGGGAGGTCTGATTGTTCGGTAGTTTCATTCCCTTAGTCTATTCGAATGATTCTACCGAACAATCAGAGGAATACAATTCTTTTAAACACATACAAAAACCCAGCAATTCACACGAATGCAGCTATTCACAAGACATTTGCAGGACAGCCCAGTGCCATCCGCTACAGGAAGTAATCCAATTATCTCCAAGGACAGAGGCAAAACTCCATTGAACACATGGCAGCAAAAGATAATAAAACACATAAAAACATATAACTGTGCAGCCCATTGTACAAAACAGGTACATTCAACATATCCCCAGATAGCTCAGATCTGAGCGCACATTATTACTTCATGAAGTGATAAAATCAATCTGTTCAGCCGGCTTAACGGTTCCTTATTAACATAGTATTGTTCACAAGTCAGCTAATGGCAAGTATAACATATGCGCCGTCCGACCGCCTCTATTCATCATCATTGAGTAAACTTTGACCCTGTACCTCACAGTCAGCAGACACATTCCAGCCAATTAGCAGCACACCCTCCCTAGCAGACCCTCCCACCTACTGGACAGCATCCATTTTAGATTCATTCTCAAGCTGTATGCTTAGTAAGAGGAGGGAAAGTGTAGCTGCTGTTCATAAGATAGGGAAAAGCATAGCTAGGTTAGGGATAAGGGTATGCTTTTTTTTAATTTTATTTTTCTATGTAATGTAAATGCACTTAGTTGTCTGCCACCGCTGCCAGCTTCTGTGTCAGGCTCACAGTGCCCATTTCCCCAGTCAGTGCCACCAATTACATCTGGTGTCACAATAGCTTGGATTTAAAAACAAAAAACTTTTTTCACTGTTATAGATTGAATAGCAGTCAG